CTTATAATGATATATATATATGATCAGTAGACATGTGCTGGGATTGACAAATATGTATTTTATTTGAATTTTAAAGGCGTTTTGAGCTCCAACCCCCAGAGTGTCTGTGGGTCTTTCTGCTGGCGGCAGGCTCTTATTGACTAATTGAGGAATTATGGTGGTTTCGTCGAACTACCGGTTCAGCGAACTTATTATATAAAGAGGTGCGAAAGTGGTTTTGTCAATCTTATGTGATAAAGTAATTGAAGGCAAAGTAGACGGCTGTCATTGATGGAAAATCGATATGTCGAGAGACAAATATCGACTTTGACAGTAGATACAATGAAAAACATTTATATATGTGTTATAAATTGGGGTCATGGTGTTATGCATGCTTGTATTACACATTACAAATACTACAAACTAGCAGAAAGTGTTTTTTTTTTCATTTATTATCTTGTCACTGACACTTGAAAACAGAGTTTAAATATCAAGTTAACCAAGAAAACTTGGAAAAAAAAGTGACTTCTCTTATAAGCCGAAATAGAGAGGTGTATAAACTAACAGAAATAAAATTCTTTTTAGCTTATATCAATATGTGAAAGTGTGTATCGATATTGTATTGGATGTAAGTGACGTCAAATGAAAAAGTGCTACAAACGGATCGACAGTAAACAGTCCACAAATTGTCTGGCATGTTTTGATGTCTGCATCAGGTCTACTGATTCAGTTCTGACCAATTGATTTAATATGAGACATTTGTTTCAAACAATATTCTATTTCAAGTAACTACAATGTAGATATAGGTGTTATCAATAAATTAATAATATAATACTGAATATTATTTTTTTATTCATAGGTTATCAAGTTTTTGAATACCCAATTAAATGGAGCCAATACCCAATTCCAAAGGAAATGATGGAGTAATTACCCAATTCACATTCAAAGCTTATCTGTTGCTCTGAAAGACCTAATAAAAATAAAATTGATTGACATTTTGTATTGGTTTTTACTTTTACACATGCATCTTTTTTTGCCAAGACATTGACTTAAATCTGAACTGCATGTATATCCTGTATCAATTAATGCAAAATTAATGTAGGTTGACCTTTTGACGTCATTTTACTTAATTACATTTTCAATTTATGCTAATGACTATATTTACATATATTCAATTTATGCAAAAGACTATTTCTACAAACGCAGTTCTATGAAAAATAGAAGTCGACTATGAACGAAATTTGATATAGTATCGACTTTTGTTCTTCTATGAAAATGAATACACAGGATTTTTAAGAAATACAGCGTTTTCATTGGATGGCAAATAAAACTGGACTCTAAAGATATAAATTATAAATGAGTTGCCAGGTATTATCAAAATATTAGATGTATAATAATATCACTTGTATAGAATTATCAAAAGTTATTCTGTTGTTTCTGTATAAGCACACAAATATCAACCTTTACTGAAATTTTTGTTAATTTCTGCAGAAATGCATGGTAAATTTTAACTCTCAGTGAACATAGCACTTTGTCCAGCATTTTTTTGCTAACAATAAATAAATAATAACATTAATTATTTTTTGGCAGATAATTTTAGATATGATAATATTTAAACAATCGTGCAGTTATAATAATAACAACATGTTTGTTTCAGATTTGGGAGAAAAAATGTCATATGAAATGCCTGAGTTGAAGACATGCAAGAACAAAGCATCTGGGACTGTACGGTTGGCCCATCATATTCTTTCACCATTGGCAGTGTATCAACAATATGTAATTGATGACACTTATGAAAGTAAATGTGATATATGCCACTGTTGTAAAGAACATATATCTGGAGATTATGGAGACACTAGCATAGGTAAAACATATTTATATTTATTAAGTTATAAATATACCCACTGCACAACAAAGATATAAGTTTTGTATACTGGTTTCAAGCTGAATTGTCATGCAGCGAATATATTTTTGTGCCCCCACTATAGGGGGAGGTTATTAATTAAGATTTACCCTTGTCCGTCCGTCTGTTCTCTTTTTGTGTCGCACGTAGCTCAATAAGTAATTGACCTAGAGTCATGAAACCTTACAGGAATGTTGATCAGCATGTGAAGTTGTGCACCTGGGTATTTTCGTGTGGATATATTTAGTAATTTTACTTTTAGAGTAATTGCCCTTGACTTAGTAAAAAGTTGCAATTTTCAACTTGTGTCGCATGTAACTCGAAAAATATTTGACTTAGAGTCATGAAACCTTACTGGAATGTTGAATGGCATGTGAAGTTGTGCCCTTGAATTAGTAAAAAATTTCTGAAATTCGACTTGTGTTGCACATAACTAAAAAAGTATTTGACCTATAGTCATGAAACGTTACAGGAATGTTGCTCAGCATGTGTAGTTGTGCGCCTTGGTATTTTCGTGTGGATATACTTAGTATTTTTGTGTTGCCTCTACAGAGTAGTGGCGACATATAGGGATCACTCCTCCGTCATCTGTCCGTCATTCTGTCCGTCTGTCTGTCCCAAAACTTGTTCGGACTACTCCTCATCAACTACTGGTGCAATTTCATCCATTCTTTTTAGCTTAGATTTTCTTTCGCCTGTGGACCTTTGGATAGCCGGGGAAATTTCAATTAATGGCAATTTTTGGACAGTTGGAGGAAACGCTGATATCAACCTTGATATACCTGACTTGGAAAATGTAATGAATATATTCATTCATATTTCTTTTGATCATTACATGTTTTAATTACGTTAAATTCACTTTAATAATTTTGGAAAGATAATGACCATCTCCCATTTTTTTCTGATACAAGAATGGGTGTGTAATATTTACAAGGTACTAATAGCTCTAATAACTCAACCTGTTTTTGTTTATTATTTTATGTTTCATTTTCAATAGAATTAACACCTGGATACATCTTATAACTTTTTTTTCAGATAATAAAGAGCCAGAAAATACGATTTACGTCCGTAGAAAAAAATGTCAATATATTTATCAGTATATGTATATCAAGTGTAAATTTGTTCTTTTTTTAAACTGATTTAATAGATGATGACATCAATCGGACTAGATGAGTGGAACGCATATTGCACTGCCAATATATCGCCATCTCTGAAGTTTATGGTGTTCGGCAAGGAATATGAAATAAATCTAGGAAACTTTAAAAACGCTCAGATTGAAATGTATGCTTCTATTGGTGGTAAGTTTTCTCCGTGCATTTGTATATAACATGGTATACATATATTCATTCTTTCTTCAAGACTATTTTTGGCATTTATACATAACTTTCATGTCCATTTAGTGTTTCTATTGTTTTATTCTATTCGTCATTCGATTTTACAAATGCATTAACATAAGGTATCTGTGAAATACGTAATGGGTATTATTATACAATTATTTTTGAAAGACAATTGTGAAAAATAGTCGTGATCTACTTAATTGAATGGGTTTAATTTCACACAATAATGATATCATAAGCTTTACACGGTAATGGAACACAATTCCGATGATTTATAAGGTTGTCATTAGCTTGCCTATACATTTCAGGTGAACAAAGATCATGGTGCGGAGACGATTCAAATCCCCCCGGCGTATTCTTTGTCACACCGATTGAAATTTCTTTTTTCGATGATGTTCCAATACTTAAAGACTGGCATACTTCATTGAAACAAAAAGCATACTTTTTTTCAACCTACGAGCCGGCAAACATGCCATTTGAACTTTTTCTGCGAAACTCTTTTTTAAGTATCGACACCGTCATTGATAGAATTATTGATTTATTAAACAATGGTTTAGATGAACTACGTGATAAAAACCTATTTAGTAACACAACACTCACAAATGTCGATGAAACTTTGCAACTTCTATATGCTTTAAAGAACAATATTCATATAATACTTGACGTATTACCTGATACAAGTTTTAATGACATGAAGTCAGAGTTAGACCAGCTATTCCTTATGTTTTCTGATTTGGATAATAAGTTACTCTTGTTTTCTTATGACACTGACTATATTGAGCATGAGCAATTCTCAAGTTTTAATAGCCACTTAATAGAGAATGTCAATGCTCTTAAGGAGGAAACAACGAATATTATGAGAGACATAACAAAATCCCTGTTGAAACAAACTTCACCATTTTCAGGTTTTGGCATTAAATACACGGTTAATATTGTTATAATAGCAATTGACCTAGGTGAATTTGACATTGAAATTGTACATTCAACCGGCAATCTTTTCAAGTGTAGCAGGTTTGATCAAGTTAAAGAACATTTTGCAGGAGAAGAAGCCATGAGAATTTTGGGACGTGCATCTTTACCAAAGATATTGAATATTTTCTTTAAATATCTTGGAGGAGTAGGCATTGGAGGGGCCCTATCAACAAGTAGTGATAAATTTGTCTTCCAATTACAACTGGTAGCTGATATTTTTGGAATGAAAACCACAGCTGACTTGTTCGTCACGAATAATGGTATCTATTTATATCTTGAAGGAAATATTTGGGATACTTTTCTTGTACAGCTTGATATCTCTGCAGAAATGGGGAAGAAATGATATGAGCTGGTGTTCAGGGTGGAGGGAAGATTTGTTGCAAATGCCAGTAAAAAAAGCGTCAAATACAGACAAATAAGTCTTCTTTTGACAGTAGCTATATAGATGCTCTACAAAAGGTTATTGCAAAAATTGCTAATAATGCTAAAGAAAGAATTACACAGGCACAAAATGTATTATCGTCAGCCAGAAAATCTTTAACAGATGCCCAGTTATGGTTTACTCAGAGGCAGGATGATTTAGATAATGCGTATATACATTTTGATAATACAGTCAACATCCTTGAATCCGCAAAAGAAACGCTTGAAGATGCAAAGAAACCTTATGAAGACGCGCTTGAAAAGCTAAGAAAAGCTCAAAGAAATGTTGATAATCTTTGTATAATCAAAACGTGTGCGAGTACCTGTGTATTGCCTGAACTTGAATGTAAAATATGCTACAAAGGTTGGTTTCCGTATCCATGCTGTAGAAAGACAGGCTGTTCACTTAGCATATCTGACCCAATCTGTGTCGCAGCAAACGCGGCATGCGAAGTACTGAGAATTGTTGCATATGGTAGCCTAGAAGTAGCTAAAATATTTGTTAAGATACCAATAATTGCTTATGATATGGCAAAGGCTGCAGTATCTGTTGCTCAAGCTGTAGTGGATAAGGCACGGTTTACTATTGCAATTGCTGAATATGCTCTTGAATTTGCAAAAACAGGCCTTGAATTTGCTAAAGGTGTCCTTTATGCAGCCTCATTAGCAATGGAAGGTGTTAAGATTGCTCTTGGAGCAGCTGTTCATGTAATGAATTTTGTAATTGACTTCACTATACAAGCTTTGATTGACGTCAAAAACTGTGGGTTTGATGTTGAAATATCAACTAAGGATCTGCCAATTTTTGCTGTATTTTGCGAAGTTAATGCTTTCAATTTAGGCTGGAAGAAAGTGATTATAAAAGTTAATTTTAAAAATATTTTTCAAAGCATTCTCAATGCAGCACGCAAAACGATTGATACGTTGATGAACATGATTGGTGATGAGTCTGAAATAGGTCGAAAACGAAGAGAAATAACATTTAGAGCATCCGCAAAGTTGCATAGACGCCTTTTAAGAAAAATACGGGAAGTTGGGATTGAAGAAACGTTTGCGAATGAAAGTATTGATATTTCTTATAGTATAATGGGTATGGGACAAAACATTGATAATGATTATGATAGCAGAGTGCTTTTGTTTAACGAAAAGTGCCTGAAAATATCTGTTGTGATAGATTTTCTCCAAGATTCATTTAAGCAACTTCAAGGTATCGTTAATGAGTCCATGCTTGCAGTCAATGAAATCAATTCAATTATAAATGATCTGCAACAAAATTCAACCACTGAAATTGTCGGAAACATGACCCTAGAAGATTTAGGAATAAACACGGATACTGCAAAAAATGAATATAATATGACGGACGATGAGTTAGAAAAGATAACGGCAAACATCACTGAATCAATAGAAAACGACCCTCTTTTAAATGAAATCAATGAGGTTGCATATTTTTCGATCGAAAGTTTGAATGAAATGATGCAATCATTAGAAGCAATTAACTTTCTTGATACCTGGCTGGTCACAATGTCCAATATCACAGAGGACTATTTCAATGCCACAGATTGTGCAGACTTCAAAGATTGTGTATTTTATAGTATAGCTATGTTATATGACGTATATGAAGAAGAGGAAGTACCTGGAATAAACGACATAAGAGATTCAATCCTCGATCTAGAAAATACCGTGATAGAGTTATTTCAAAATGAAACCCAAGCTATATATGACATTTCTATTGCACTAGACTCTATTACATCAAATGTATCATTTTTAGCCGAAGCTAATCCTTTTTGTTCTTCGCCACCAACTTTCCTTTCATCCCTGAAAAATCAAACGGTTCTAAACTCAACATATGTTGTCCTTACATGTAACGCTACGGGAGATCCATTTCCACAATTTTGGTGGATGAAGGACAATGAATATTTACATTCTGAGCACCAGATGAATATAACATTTTCATCTGTTTCAACTAATGATGTTGGTATATACACATGTATCGCCGGAAATGTTGTGGCTAATTTAACATCAGAAGAGGCTCATCTTTCAGTTGTATTATACGGTATGTTAGTCAATCTTTAAAGCTTGGCTATAGTTACTTAAAGGGATTTCAAAATATTTTAGACTGTGATATTTGTTCTAAATGTTTGATTTAATCGACTATTTAATCGGTATTGCTTTACATCTCTTTAAGTGTTGAAATCTTACTATCTAAATTCAAGTACAATTCAAGAACATAGTTTTTAAAACCCTAATTGTAGTTATTCTTTAATTAAATGTTGGGGGTATTGAATTGCTGTGACATTTAGATTCTAAATCTTTCGTTTTGACGAATACTGCTACCTATAGATGAAAAAGACTACAATATAATACACTTATAACAATTTACAATTGCCATGGTTTTGTCGTAAAATTATTTTTAATAATATAATGTATATCTTTGCTACTTAAGATGACGATGAATGTGAAACTAGAAATGGAGACTGTGAGCACATATGCACCAACCTTATCGGATCTTACGAATGCAGCTGTAGAAATGGTTATGCACTGGCAGATGATAGAATAACTTGTTTGGGTACAATATTTATTTACGTTCTCATGTATAAATGTTTAACTTTATTAGTAAAATATGACAAGCGATCATAATATGAACTGGGTCCTTGTCCGTTTGGTTTCTTTTCTTTGTCTTAACTAGTTACTAGTATTGCATTTTGTCTCTGCATAAAAAATGACATGTGCATGATTAATGCTTAAACTTGTCTATAATATGACTCGTGATCTGTTTTAGGTGAACCAAGCAAAGACAAATCAGAAGAAGAAGAAGAGGGGGAAGAAGTAATGGTGATAGGTACTTGTTCTTTATAAATATTTTTGTAATTGGATCTTAAGATAATTGAATAGGAATCATAAAGATTCCCATAACTGACACAACTCTTTAATGTTGCAGACATAACTGCAAATAATTTGCTTTATTTTTGTTTCTTTTCAGAGTGATTGCACCTTTCTGTTTTCATAATATCAACATATATTTTAATTTCAGCATTATTTGTAACCGGAGCTGTTGTTGTTCTTCTAGTTGCATTTTCAATTCTTGCCTATGTGAAAATAAGGTAATATTAAAATTTTATTTGTTTAGTTTTCTTTAAACTTTGATATACAAATGTACATGTATCCGCGCGTTATTTGCAGGTTGGTCCTTTTTGGATTCAATAAATACAACATTTTCACAATATCAACGCTATATATAGATTCTATTGCAAATACGCTATCATATTTTAACCAGGATTTCAGATTGAAAAAACTGTCATTTAATTGGGAAATCTCGGATTAATTCCTCTTGCATAATTTATTGCTACAGCTAATTTAATGTGTGTGTATTTTTCTCTTTTTATAGCAAAGTCAGAATAATTCCGAATGAAGTTTATGGTTCTAACATTGAAGTGACTGACATAGAAAGCAACGAAAAGAAGTCATTACCTAACAGTCTGGCGGCAGAAATTGAAAACCGCTCCCTAGGTCCAGAAAAGACAGCATTCAAACATCACAAAGTCGTAGCCTGGACATAAAAAGTATTATCTAAATATACTGACGCAGTTGCGATGATGATATTGGAAAGTTGAACAATAACATGCAAACACAACAAAAATGATTTATAGTTTTATAAAAATGTTTATACACAGTGTCTATGTTTGATAGAGTTATTATTGTTTTATGTTTGCAGCTGATGGCACATGTACATATTTTGTTGATTTATTACTAATTATTGACCACGTTTTTTCAATATTGTGTGTTGACTCTTTTTAAAAATATCTTCGCTAAACTATAGTTGTTATTGTTTTTTGTTGATGTAATTATTGTATTTTATTAATGATTTCATGGCATATGTAGTTAGAAATAAGAGAAAATTAAACTTTCCAAAACCTGTCAATGTGATTTTTACATGCGGACATGGAAATATTATTTTGCAATTTAATATATATGTCTGATAACACTATTGACAATATCTTACATAAAAAGCGCAAAATATTTCTTTTGTTTAACAGGATATTTATTATATTAATGTATTAGTTTAAGTTGTAGGAACCTTTTAATAAATGCTTCTCAAATTTGTGAATTCCGATAAAATGGCATTTTATAATTTATAATTGTAATATTATTAAATTTTATTAATGATAGTAATTGTTTTAGTAATATAATCACATTTTATTAGATTCGATATAAATGAGTTTAATCTGACCCGAAGCGGCAGAGTCTTGTATGATTAGTATTGAAGACGCATGATTTACTGCGGAATGACACGATTTGTTAATAAATATACAAGTGCATGAAACATTCACGTACATCAGCCTAACACATTATGATCTTGTTTTGTTGCAAAACATTCTGATTTACATTTTCAACAAATGGAAAAGACAATGTTTCTTATCTCCGTATACAAATAACGGGCTTTACAACTGTCTGCTTGCATTTAATGAGAGTAATATTAATAGACTTTATATCGTGGAACCAGGCTAAAATTCAATCCTTTTTCATCTAAAGAGCACTGTTTTGCATAGGACAAAACGCATTGGCGTAAAAGCTGTTGCATTGCATTGTCCTAAAACATCTTATTTTTCTATGTATTGGTTTTTTGAAGAAATTTAATATTCTTTTTAAAAGTTTTTTTTATATTTTGTATTTTTCTAATGAAATGATTGAGATAGTGCTGTGTGGGTGGAGTTTTGGCTTCAAAACCGTTAATAGACGCTTTTTTTATATTTTGTTTTTAAGACATAAAAGGCTTTAATTCTTTATTTGTTGATACTTTGAATACTAAGATTTTACACATATATCGTTTAGTAATTAATTAGCTATACATGTATTATCATTGTTTATTGCCTCATAGAGGGATAATAGTCGAGTGTCGAGTAAAGAACGGTGATGTTTAAGATAGGATATAAATGAACAGATGGTTGTTGTTAAAAGAAATTTAGCTAACACTTTCCGGTCCCGTCCATGAAAAGACTCAACCAAACCAAGCCTGCAATATTTTCACTTTTGCTGTCTTTGACGTTCTTTAAGGATTTCTTTGTTTTACTATTTGTACAGATTTCGTAATTTTGATTATTGAAAAGATTTAGAGTTTTTGCTGTGCTTTTAGTTTTTGTTGATTGAATTTCGTTTTACTTTTTTAAGAATATATTTGTGAATACTAGTGATCTAAACATATGAGTTTTTAATAAGACCATGTATTATATTATCTATAAATAACTTTGAAATTTCTTTCCCTGATAGACTTAGAAGCAACATTTTGTTATGAATAACAGGTCAATATCAGAGTATAGTCATCGTTTTTTTTCTTCTAAAAATAGATTATCAGAGTATAGTCACCGATTTTTTTTCTGGAAATCTCCCAAAAGGCGGGAGGCGTCACGTCACACCAAGTTTGATAAAAAGGTGAAGTGCAATGGGAATAATAAAAAGTGTTTTGCATGTCTCCTCTGCGCCACCGTAATATTCTATTAATCATTTTGATCTGTATCGGTTTTAGATAATGATCGTATATAATTATATTCGCCACTCTATAATGTATTATATACATCATGCATGTATAATTATATATACCAAAGCAAATGTGATTACTATATATTATACATGTAATCTTACGTATGTTTTAAATATTTCATGAAAGCAAGTTTATTTTTCAACTGAGAATTTACGTCGAGCGTTAATTAGTGTATTTTGTATTCAACCGACGTCGTATCCTTCCACTGACAACTTAAGATCAAACCCAGTTTTGTTGTGTGTGTTTTTTGTGTAAACTTGCAATATGTTTTGTAAATATGTAGTTGGTACTTCATTAATTAAATATTTAGCTATATAGATTTTGTTTCGACTTACGTACTTTTTAACCTTTTCGACTTAAAATATATCAAGCTAGCTCGCTGAAAGACGACAATTTTATAAAAAGGTTTCTTCCCTCCCTAAATAATGTAAACAGGCGCACCGGATGCCTTCCATCACCCAAAATAGCTTGTTTGTTGACATGTTACTAAATCAGTAATACTGCCGACGGGGTTAAACTTTAGAAATATGAAGAATGTCCATAAGGTTATATGTAAGACTATTTCTGTGTGTGACACGAGTACATGTTACATTTTCTGATCAAATGCCTTAAAAATTACAAATCTAAATATGATATACCTTGGTTATAATTTAATGAAATTCATGAAATTAGTGCCATTCATACAAAGATACAAACACGGTATTAAAAACAACAACAAAAATGCTTTAAGCTGGATCTACAGGGTAAGATTCGCATGTGAATGTTGGACTTTTGTCCCGGTCGATTCACTAGGCATGTCCATGCAGTTTCGCTGATCGACAAAACGTTGGAACCAGATAGACCGGGCATATGGAGAGGGTTCCACTAGAATAGATTCGTAAACTCGCTTAAGTCTAACCATTGAAAGTTTTCGTGTTGTCTATGCGAACAGAAAGCTCCCGGATCGTATCATTATGAGTCTTGTCTTGTACACTGACTGTATTATACTGAGCAAGTTAGTCTAGGAAAAGAGGAGAACAGATCGACCCCCTCCAGCAGATCTACATGCATATATGTAAGAATTTAAATAATAGCGCCTTGGATCTGATGATGATTTTATTAAACGTAACTATGTTCAGCTTGTGCATTTCTTTTGAACTCTGACATTTACATAGAATAAGAAAGCATGAATGAAAACGTTTAAGAAATAAGAATTTCACAAATAACTCTTATATAATGAATAATGCAGTATAATTTATATAAGTATGAAATGGAAGTTTGAAAGAAATAATAATGTTTGATATGTATCACCCTTGTATGTTTTAATTTAAACATTGATTAGTTTGTTTGAAACAAGTACACACATTTACAATTTACAAATAAAATTTACAACAAAAGAAATGCAAGAAAAAGGATCAGGACCGGAAGCTGATGATGATACAGGTCTTTTCCTATTGTATTCATTTCCGAAAAATGACAGTACAATGAGTAAATTATTAACTGGAAAAAATTGTATGCTAGTCCCGGCGAGTGAAAATATGTGGCATTTTATCATGTTGATATATACAAAACATATGAGTATAAGTAGTTGGTTGGTAGATGGTTTGAAAAAATATATGATGCAAAAAAAGAGTTAACTATCAGAAAAAAGAGAAGAAAAATAAAGAGTAAGATAGTGGAGAGAGTGGAATATTTCCAGACGATACTAACAGCATATGGCATTGATAAAAAATGAATTTATAGTTCTTTCGGAAACCTAGCTAGCTCTTGCTTTGTTAATGTAATAGTCTTGAAGAGCAAGGAAAATACTACATTATATGTTTTATCACTCGTGCTTCAGTCGCTCGCTATATAGGCAGCAATGTTTGCAGCGATACAGTTCAGCAATTTGATATGGTGTTCATGAAACTTCTATCATTTCATTATAAAGGGGACGAATGAAAAGAAAAAGTGCATGTCTGAAATTTTCTGTAAAATGTAGAAACGTACGTGCACATACACATGTATTCTAATTAAAATGTGCATCCGTGAATGTATCAGAAGTCGCCATTCAACAGTCAAAGGAAGAATAACATCATTTATGTAACATTCTATACACTTCTAGTCTATCGGACAAAGCGCACAGACTGATAACTGTATATATAGTCTGGCCTATAGGAAAAGTAAAAAGAGAGAGAAAAAACCTACTCGATACGTATACGCGTCATTTTTCCAACGTGATGAAGGAGCCATTTCATCAATGTGGAAACGTCGTCACATACTGTATGTGATCCATACGGACTCAATTCAACATAATTGAAAAATATGAAAACTACAAGTTTCAAGTTTTTATTTCAACGAATTACGTACGTTGTACATGTATATTCGTGTAAGTTTGAATATAGAAATCAACTCCAGTTTCAATTTAATTGTAATTGAATATTCATAAATATAAATTGCACTGTATAGTCATCTTTTCTATATCTATTAAGGATATGAATGATGATCTGTCATGGGTTCGAACTCTCCGTACAAAGAGGTCGGATGGTCCCTCATTAAGCCTGGAATACATGTTTTTACATGCTCTGTACATCTTGTACAATACAATCTGATCATATGCCGTATCCTAACCTATCCTATTCAGTGTTCATAAAGATTCAAGGATCAGGATCAAGATCAGGATCAAATTTAAAAACTCTAATAATGTTCATTGTTTATCCATCTAATATTAATTTGATTAAACTGGACCTGCAATAGCAAGTTCATGAAACTTTAGAATAAATTTATTATTATTTTTGCAAGATGCGGGCATTTTACAGTTGATCCAAATATTGATCCTGATCCTAAAATTGATCCTTATTTTGATCCAAATATTTTTGTATTTATTTTGTTATTTGTTGATTTTATCCCAAAATAGTTTGGTTTCTTTGCAAATCAGCAATTTTTTACATTTAATCCGTGTAAATATTTACAATTTTATTCTAGCAAAACACGATTAATCTTAGTAACATAAAACAATGAAAATAAAATCATGATAATTGATCCTGATCCTGATCATTTCTTTGTGAACACGGGGAACACAATATGTATTTGCAAGAAAGATAAGCGAGAACTTTGTTATTTGCGTTAAATTATCAACTTGAGCTTTAATAAAGTTCCTTTGTGTTAGTAGATATATTTTGAAAAAAATGGCGGAGGACATCAACTTAGCTGCACTTCCAGACATCGGTTTGGAGAAAAGAGATGGCTTGAAATCTGCATTAGAAGCACTAAAATCAAGTCCTCGCTTTTGTTTTTGTTTGCTTAAAATAACAAATAGTGACGCTCATTTGTGTTCCAGATATGGATTTTCCGGTGCAACGTGCGAAACTAAGAAGAGTTTTGAAATGGAAGATGAAGATGCAGAAAAGAAAAGCAATTCAAGCAAAGAGATATATCCATTTATTGACATATTTCAAAATGGACATAACATTTTGAAGAAATATTTGAACGACCAATCATATATTCCTAACAATCACTCTGAAAAAATTGCACTGGAAAAACTTTTGTCATTATTACTGGAAATAGAAGGTAAGAAAAATAATTAAGTGTTATAAATAAATATTAGATCTAATAATATGAAAAATAAGTGTTTTGAATAATAATACATAATAAAGATCAGCAATTTCTTTCCTTAAATAAGTGGGACCGAATATTAATGTGGAAAAAGTTTGTGGGTGGCACTACTTTCAGGGAATCCGAGTCAGCTCGGCCCTAAAACATACTCCCCCCCCCCCCCCCCCCCCCCCGAGTCAGCTCGGCCCTATTCCCAACTCGGCACGGGTCAACTCGGCCCCATTTTAAAAATGGGTAAAAGACATCAAAGGACTCCTATTGTCATGGGCTATTATTATCAATCAATGTACCGATTAATTAGGTGATAATTATGATTGACTCTTTCATTCAAATTTGATTAGTGACCACCTGCAATTAATTAGAAGCTTATGCTATTATGTAAACATGTTTTTGTTTAATATTTTTTTGAAAATTACTTTACAAACAAAATGCATCTAAGGAAACACATTTGTATTATATCTATATTCACAGGCACAAGGTTAGGTACTGGGAAGAAAAAATATGAAGTTTTATTTAATTTTATCTATGAAATATGGTGCTATATCAGTCAAATATATTTCATATTTTTTAAAAATAAATATGAAATATAAATATGAAAGTGGGCGGAGTCAAAACTCATATTTATTTGAAGGGACTTCTTTCGCCATTTTGTTTGAAAAATCTGATAAATACAAACAACTTTTTTGTTGAATTTTGTTTTGAAAACTATCTAGAATGATAGAAAATGGTCTAACTAAGAAAATAAATCCGAACACCAATATCTTTAATTCAGTCATTAACGCTGTACAGACGTTTATAAAGTTGTTTACGTGACGTCAGAATCTAGCGCTAAATATCGCGTGCAAAACAAGACGATACTTACATTACTGCGCGCTGTATAATTGCAGTTGCGTAGCAGGCAAGGGGGTTCAGAACCATTTTTCTTTGATAATGATATTAAATAAAAAGGTTATTTTTTCGTTTTTCGTGAAATATGGTATATATTTTCACTCAACATGATAAAATGCCGTACCGACTCGTGAAAATATGTGGCATTTTATTATGTTTCGTGAAAATATATTCCATATTTCACGCAAACGAAAAAATATCCTCTTAATTTTATCAATCTGTTCATATTTTTTCTTCCCAGGTTCGATAATTGTGCCTGTGTCTATATTAATTTTCTCGAATCTGCAAGACAAATAAATAACTTTTTTTTCTAAATATACTTTATTTCAGCAGAGGTACAATGTATAATTATATAATAATAATAAGAAATTTCTTATTATTCATTTACCTTAACAAACATGTGCAAAGCAAAGTAAATTATATATGTTATAGGCCTATATATTTTTGTAAAGTGGGCCGAGTTGACCCTTGCCGAGTTGGTATAGGGCCGAGTTGACTCTTTTCCCTTTCAGGGACTTCAAGGAATTTAGGATTTGATCTTCATGCTTTTTTTTCAATGACCACTCACAGTCACATTTTGAAACATGAAATTGCATGAACATTCCCTCATGAATTTGATTTTGAATTGGTGAACTTTCACAAAAAAATGAATAGATCTACAGGATCCATGAAACCGAAGTAACTAAGGTAGCACAGTGTAAATGTTTCATTGTACACATTTTTATACTGGCATAGGACAGGTACGCTGAAGATAAGGCCGTAAACATATACTGGTACCTCATATATCGGTGTTACCAAATTCCAAGGTATTTGGCATAAGCAGCCACAAGTGCCCCCTAGACCCCATGCACCTGTGAGTTTTACTTTCACTTTTTAGCTCGACTATACGAAGTATATGGAGAGCTGTCCTACTCGCCCCGGCGTCCGCGTCCAGATTTTAGATTAAAATTTGGTGCAGTAAAATATTTTTCACTATAACTTTGTCATTTCTTAAGGTATCAACTTCAAACTTCAAATATATGTTCCTTATCATCAACCACGTCTTATGTGACAAGGTTCATAACTCTAGCACCAATATTTTCAGATTTATCTCCCCTTGAACTTAGAATTTTCCTTAAAAAATACTATTTTTTACTGATACTTCTTTATTTCTTAAGGGACCAACCTCATACTTCAAATATATGTACCTTATCATCATCCCCATCTTATGTGACAAGGTTCATAACTCTAGCACCAATATTTTCAGATTTATCTCCCCTTGAACTTAGAATTTTCCTCAAAAAATACTATTTCTTACTGTTTCTTCTTTATTTCTTAAGGGATCAACCTCATACTTCAAATATATTTACGTTATCATCATCCCCATCTTATGTGACAAGCTTCATAACTCTAGCACCAATATTTTCAGATTTATCTCCCTTTGAACTTAGAATTTTCCATAAAAAATATTATTTTTTACTGTAACTTATTTATTTCTAAAGGGATCAACTTCATACTTCAAATATATTTACGTTATCATCATCCACATCCTATGTGACAAGGTTCATAACTCTAGCGCCAATATTGCAAGAATTATCTCCCCATAAACTTAGATTTATTTACTAGAAAAATTTTATGTTTTATTTTAACTTTTTTATTTTTAAAGGTATCTACCTCAAACTTCAAATACTTATTCCTTATCATCAATTACATTTTATGTGACAATGTTCATAACTCTTGAAGCAATATTTACAGATTTATCTCTCTTTGAACTTAGGATTTTCTTTAAGAAATATAATAACTTCTTTATTTTTTAAGGGAGGAAAATAAAAGTGAAACTTATATACATGTAGTTTTTTTTTTTTTTTTGGGGGGGGGGGGGTGAAATGATGCCAAATTTAGCCACCTGACCAGAATTCATGTATTGAGGGACCTGAAAAGGATGGGTATGGTGGGCGTTGGGGCAGTGGGCTTACAAGTAGTATCCAGCACAACAATAACCATGATGTATATGTTAGTGTTCATTCATGCTGTTCTACAGAAATTGGAAACTTCGACGGGAGCGAAAACGACCGGAGAATGTTTCTAATTTCTGTAGAACAGCTACAGATGAATACTAGCATATTTAGTGTCAAACTTTATTTGGCCTCATTAATATTCACTTTACTTGTCACTACCAGTTCGCTTTATTAAACAATTACCTGAATGATTTACATCACTTTGCACGCGAAAACGCATGTGCCCTTGTGTTTCAGTTGGGAAATATAGGGGACGACATATGGCTAATGCAAGTTTTCATTTGTACGATATTCAAACATTTATATTCGACAAAATTTTTGATGAGTTGGACACAAACATATGTTTGTGTCTGAGTATTTTTGATGAGTTGGACAAATGATACATTTGTACTCAGTTGCTAATATCTATATGATTTATACATGTATACACTTAATGTCATGTGTTAAAACGCGGTCACATTATGTATTTTCCAAAAACATAATGTCTTCTTTCACTTTCTGTCTACCGAAAAAAAGAAAGCGAATAGACACACATGACTTTCCTCTTAGTTACAAATTAATAAAGACCTAATAAAAATAAAATTAATTGACATTTTGTATTGGTTTTTACTTTTACAATTGAATCTTTTTTTGCCAAGACATTGACTTAAATCTGAACTGCATGTATATCCTGTATCAATTAATGCAAAATTAATGTAGGTTGACCTTTTGACGTCATTTTTACTTAATTACATATTCAATTTATGCAAATGCCTATTTTTACACATATTCAATATATGCAAATGACTATTTTTACAAATGCGGTTCTATGAAAAATAGAAGTCGACTTTGAACGAAATTTGATGTAGTATCGACTTTTGTTCTTCTATGAAAATGAATACACAGGATTTTTAAGAAATACAGCGTTTTCATTGGATGGCAAATAAAACTGGACTCTAAAGATATAAATTATAAATGAGTTGCCAGGTATTATCAAAATATAAGATGTATATCACTTCTATAAAATAATCAAAAGTTGGTATAAGCTGACTCAAATATCAACCCTTACTGAAATTTTTGTTAATTTCTGATGCATGGTAAATTTTAACTCTCAAGGAACATAGCACTTTGTCCAGCATTTTTTGCTAACAATAATAATATTAATTATTTTTTGGCAGATAATGTTAGATATGATAATATTAATCACAACTCTGCAGTTATAATAAAAAAAAACATGTTTGTTTCAGATTTGGGAGAAAAAATGTCATATGAAATGCCTGAGTTGAAGACATGCAAGAACAAATCATCTTGGACTGTGAGGTTGGCCCATCATATTCTTTCACCATTGGCAGTGTATCAACAATATGTAATTGATGACACTTATGAAAGTAAATGTGATATATGCCACTGTTGTAAAGAACATATATCTGGAGATTATGGAGACACTAGTATAGGTAAAACATATTTATATTTATTTAGTTATAAACATACCCACTGCACAACGAAGATATAAGTTTGGTATACTGGTTTCAGGCTGAATTGTCATGCAGTGAGGGGAGGGCATTTAGATTTACCATTGTCCGTCCGTCTGTTCTCTTTGTTCTCTGTTCTCTTTTTGTGTCGCACATAGCTCAATAAGTAATTGACCTAGAGTCATGAAACCTTACAGGAATGTTGATCAGCATGTGTAGTTGTGCACCTGGGTATTTTCGTTTGGATATTTTTAGTAATTTTAGAGTAATTGCCCTTGACTTAGTAAAAATTTTCAATTTTCAACTTGTGTCGCATGTAACTCGAAAAATATTTGACCTAGAGTCATGAATCCTTACTGGAATGTTGAATGGCATGTGAAGTTGTGCCCTTGAATTAGTAAAAAATTTCTGAAATTCGACTTGTGTTGCACATAACTAAAAAAGTATTTGACCTATAGTCATGAAACCTTACAGGAATGTTGCTCAGCATGTGTAGTTGTGCACCTTGGTATTTTCGTGTGGATATACTTAGTATTTTTGTGTTGCCTCTACAGAGTAGTGGCGACATATAGGGATCACTCCTCCGTCATCTGTCCGTCATTCTGTCCGTCTGTCTGTCCCAAAACTTGTTCGGACTACTCCTCATAAACTACTGGTGCAATTTCATCCAAACTTTACAGGAATGATCAGTACCAAGTCTAGTTGTGCATATTGTCAGCATTTTCCGGTTCAATGATTTTTGTAAGAGTTATGGCCCTTTAATAATTTTTATTTTTAAAGTTTGTTTGGACTACTTCTCTTATACCACTAATGCAATTTCAATGAAACTTTACAGGATTGATCTGTAGCTCAAGTCCTTGCTCATATTGCACGGGTTTTCCGGTTGAATGATTTTTGGCCGAGTTATGGCCCTTTGATAAAAAGGTGTTTTTTTCTGTGTGTTGCCAGATGCACATAAGCTTGTCCGGACTACTCCTCATAAACTACTGGCGCAATTTTATCAAAACTTTACAGGAATGATCAGTACCAAGTCTAGTTGTGCACTGTTTGTCTGTCCATCTGTCACAAAACTTGTCCCCACTACTCCTCATAAACTACTAGGGCAATTTCATCCTAACTTTACAGGAATTTATGTAACCACTACCCCGATCACTTCTCCGTCTGTCACAAAACTTGTCCCAACATGAAATTGGCCATCATGAGGCGAAACATGTGATCACTGATCGCTCTTGTTACAGGTTTTGCCCTTGACTTAGTAAAAATTTACAATATTCAACCTTAAAGTTTACAAGAATGTTGGTCATGTGTACTTTAATATGCACCTTGGGGTTTTTCTTGTGGATTTATTCAGTATTTGAAGTATTTGCCCTTTACTTGATAAAAGATTTTAAGTTTTCAACTTGGGCACATATAGCCAAAAAAAAAAAAATTGACCTAGAGACATTAGATTGACAAAATGGTGGAGTGTGGGGGCACCCGTGTCCTATGGACACATTTCTAGTTCTCTCCCTGTTGTTGTGCCCTTTCCATAACCAACTTTTCCATGCCACTTTATGAGGCTGATTTACAGTAAATTGTTCAGCACCCAACACCCCCGGCACCCCACTCCTGGAAGTATGGCTATCCAACCATGTTGCCATTTTTGTGACCAGCAGCAGCTGTTGTGACCATCTCGGAAACTGCTCAATTAATTTCAATAAAACCAGACATATAACTCTACATTTGTAAGGAATTAAACGTTGACAAATACTGATCTTGGCCTTCAAAGTCAATTTTTTTTTAAAAATTGAAAGGTGCATTTTAATTGGTCAGACTTTATCTTACAGTGGTTTCTCTCTTTATTGGGAAGAGGTCTGACTAGTCTCTTTATTGTCTCTTTATTTTCTTCAAAAGGGTCGATATAGAAGTAGGCTCCGTCCGTCAGCACTTACAGGACAGTAATTATGTGGCTAGAGGGACAGTAGGTAACTGTTCTTTCTCTTTGATGTCATTCATTCCGTAATGCTTTTATGTGGATATTTTCACTTTTGTGTAGCTTAAAAGAACAATAGAGAGAACAATAGAGTAGCCACATTATTACTCTCCTGTTAGAACGTCCGTCCGTCTATCTGTCCGTCCGTCACACTTTCATGTCCGGTCCATAACTTTGTCATCTATCAAAGGAATCTGAAATAACGTGGCACAAATGTTTGTTATAATAAGACGATGTGTCATGCGCAACAACCAGACCCCTACCTCCAAGGTCAAGGTTGCACTTGCTCATTCAAGGTCAACATTGTCTATTTTAGGGTATATGTCGTGTCCGGTCCATAACTTTCTTATCTTTGAAGGGATTTTGTAAATACTTGCCACAATTGTTCACAATAATGAGACGATGTGTCATGGGCAACAACTTGTCACCTACCTTCAAGGTCAAGGTCACACTTGGAGGTCAAAGATTAACATAGTCTGTAATAGGGTATATTTTGTGTCTGGTTATTTTGTGTAGATTTTTAAATTCCATGTTTCACTTTATTTCTTTAATAAATTTATTGTTGCATTTGCAGATCTAACATTGATCGTAATTTTGAACTGAAAGTCCTGAGATCCATACCTTAATCTTTTTAAATCGCACAATTTAATGCTTCATATAAAATTTCCCTGAGGCGGAGGACGTTGGTAACTCTGTTACAAATTCTTGTTTGAAGAGGAGCAGTTAGGTTTTTAAGACAGGCAAAAATTATATTGAAATTTTGATAAAAAAAAATTGACAATCATACTTCTCAGTGTATATATATTTGTACTGTGTTCTTATTTAGATCTTTAACAGTTTGTACGAGGGGTTATCCAAAAATTCGTGGACTTTTTAATTATCTCTTGAACGTCAGCGTGTATTATAATGAATTTTATCAGCATAAATTGTATAATATTATCAACATACATTTGTATTTTGATAGGAACAGTTAATTGCGTCAATAAATTATGATTTTAAATTGCTTTTAAATAAACACATACACGGTACCCGGCGCACGGTAGAAAAGCGCAGTTAAGTCTTCGTATAGTTTTGCTAAAAAAACTAAAAATAAACATAGAAAACCCGGTAAACATCGCATGTTTCTTCTATGATGTCATTTAAGTAATTCTTTTTAATTATGGACGTCATTTCCGTTAATTTTTGTTGAAATCGCTAGAAACGTCAGACTCTGATATTGTTCACAAGGGGAAAATGACGGACACGCAGAAATTAGAAAATTGCTCGATCATAAAAATTTGTTGTATTTTGGGAATGACACCTACAAAAACATTTGAAAAAAATCAGTAGGCGAACAGAGAAAATAAAGTTTCACGATCATAAGTGTTTAAGTGGCATAAAAAATTAGCGATGGACATTACTTTGTGAAGCAGTAACGGTCACTGACTGCGTAACGTTGAAGCACAAGTTGTATACGTTATTATGACATTGACGTCAATAACTTTTTGGAGTGAGCCGCTGTGGCAGATATGTGTTTATGTAAAATTAAATATTGTTGTAATATAAGAAACTACTAACATGATTTTTTCTGTGGTTATTTGTAATTTATTCTTCTAAGCAGTGTAAGAATTTCAAATCAATATCTCAAATACATTTTACACAACAAAGAAAGTCCACAAATATTTGGATAACCCATCGTATGTTTATTTTACATTACAGGAAACAAAAATGTATGGCATGGAAGTTTAGATATCCTTATTGGAAGAAGAGTTGGAATAAGTATTCATCATGAAGAAATATTTGATGACAGTGACAGTAAAGAAAATTCAACTTCATCTCCATTTGAAGTAAAAGATGGTGATTCCTTAGTTGGTGATAGACAGCAAATAATTGCAGAATCTATTGTGTTTGCCTTTCTGCAGAAAAAGATAAATCCTGATTTAAAACAATTCTTGATCCCAACCATAGGTATGTCAAAAACAGATGTTCTGTTTTATCTCTATGATCCTGACCATGATGTTCTGCTGGAGAGTCCACCTTTCTTTATTTTTGAAAGTAAAGGAGAGATATCATATATAACAATTCTTGCTTTGTGGCTTGCAGTAAATCATCCAATACTCGGTACAGGAATCACTACTCACATCAAGGATAGATCATTTACGGCTGACTTTCTTAAACATTTGGAAAATAAGAAGGTTGAAGCTATATATGAAAATGAAATTCAATTAGGACAATTGAACGGAGAAATAAGGTATGATCCTTACCATTTTCCAGATTATGGTGGGCGCTGGATAGTCAAGAAAGGTGGTAAACCACTAATAGAAGCAGATGAAGATGTTTTGTGATTGTGATATATTTGTGTGGAAAGATAGTGCTGGTGCATTGACTATCTAGTATTATTATACCCCCGCACAACAAAGTTGTAAGGGGGGTATACTGGAATCAGCTTGTCCGTCCGGCCGTCCGTCGGTTTTTTCTTGTCCGTCCAATAACTTAAGATTCCTTTGACCCTTAGTCTTCATATTTGGTATGGAGGTTAGTCATGATTAGTAGATGACCCCTATTGATTTTGAGGTAACTAGGTCAAAGGTCAAGGTCACAGAGGCCTTGACTTCAAAAAGCTTGTCCGCCTAATAACTTAAGATTCCTTTGACCTACAGTCTTCATATTTGGCATGGAGGTTAGTCATGATTAGCAGATAAACCCTGTAGATTTTAAGGTCAAAGGTCAAGGTCACAGCGACCTTGACTTCAAAAAGCTTGTCCGTCCAAAAACTTAAGATTCCTTTGACCCACAGTCTCATATTTGGCATGGAGGGTAGTCATGATTAGCAGATGACCCCTATTGATTTTGAAATCACCAGACCAAAGGTCACAGGGCCTTGACCACAAAAAACTTTTCCGCCCAATAACTTTAGATTCCTTTGACCCACAGTCTTCATATTTGGCAAGGAGGTTAGTCATGATTATTTAATGACCCTTATTGATTTTGAAATCACCAGACCAAAGGTCACAGGGCCTTGACCACAAAAAACTTTTCCGCCCAATAACTTTAGATTCCTTTGACCCACAGTCTTCATATTTGGCAAGGAGGTTAGTCATGATTATTTAATGACCCTTATTGATTTTGAGGTCACCAGCTCATAGGTCAAGGTCACAGGGGCCTGTACTACAAAAAGCTTGTCCGCCCAATAACTTAAGATTCCTTTCACCCACAGTCTTCATATTTGGCATGGAGGTTAGTCATGATTAGTAGATGACCCCTATTGATTTTGAGGTCACCAGGTCAAAGGTCAAGGTCACAGGGGCCTTGACTTCAAAAAGCTTGTCCGCCCAATAACTTAAAGATTCCTTTCACCCACAGTCTTCATATTTGGCATGGAGGTTAGTCATGATTAGTAGATGACCCCTATTGATTTTGAGGTCACCAGGTCAAAGGTCACAGGGACTTTGACTTCAAAAAAATTGTCTGCCCAATAACTTTAGATTCCTTTGACCCACAGTCTTCATATTTGGCATGGATGTTGATCATGACTATAAGGTGACCCCTATTGATTTTGAGGTCACTGGGTCAAAGGTCAAGGTCATTGGGACCTTGACAAAAACAAAAGCTTTTCTGTTCAATTACTAAAGAATGTCCTGTCCACAATGTATTGATTTTGACATTTTCACATTTGAAGCATGTAGAATACATAACTTAGCAATGCACTGGCTTAGTAACCTAAGATTTGGCAGGGAGGTTGTCCTTGAGCTCTAAATGGCCACTGTTGATTCTGACAAAGTGGTATGCAGGGGTATTCACGCCATGATAGTGGCAGTTCTAGTTTTTTATCAGGTCACTTGTCTGACACAAAGTACACTTTGACCTACAGTCTTATGACTTGATGTGAAGGTTGGTCATGACTGATAAATGACTTGATTTTGAGCACAAAAGATATAGGGTGAAGGACATCATGGGCAACAATGTCCTTGTGATGGCCCACTGTCCGTTGTCCATCCGTCACATCCATCCACAGGGGGTCTTTGATTTACCTTATTTAATACATGTATATAGTAAAAACTTAAAAATCTTCTTGTGAAAATAAGAAAAAAACTAGAGCTAAGATATTTGGCATAAAACATTTTCTAGTAGATGCCTGCCAACTATGTTCAAATAAAAGCCCTGGGGTCAAAATTGGCTCCACCCCAGGAGATGGAGGTAGAAAGTTCAATCCCCAGCCAGGTCAAGTGTTTGTTTTCCTTCTCTTTTTTCATCATCTTTTTATTATTTCACCTCTAACAGTGACAGGCTGAACTGTTTAATAAATGGCTTTCAGAGTTAAAATAAGAAAACAACATCCTAACAAAATCTCAGCCACTGGTTCAATTTTGAAATAATTTTACACAAAAATTTTCTTAGTGACAGTATACAAAATTGTTCAGATTAAGCTGTCCCTTAATTGTTCCAAATTGTGCTTCTGGGGTGAAAAGGGGCTCCACTTTGACCATTTTACCTATTTTTCAGGTGAGCGATCCAGGGCCCTCTGGGCCCTCTTGTTTTGTTTGTTTCAAAGTCACATGTGTAACATTTTCAAGAACATTATGCATTCCCCTAAGTGGATATTCTGCTGATCAAATTTTATGATCTTTGCATGTTAAGTAACTACATGATATGAATTTTAAGATCACGTTAGGGTTAAACATAGTGTTACCCTGTTCCATCATTCTGTCACTCCGTCATCATCAGTTTCCGTTCCTTATCTTAGTAACAGTTGCACACATTCAACTCAAATTTGGCATATGGATATGTCATGATAAAATACAGGTTAAGGTCGAATTTGGTCATGGTATGATGATTTTTGGCAGAGTTATGCCCATATTACTTTGAAAATAATATGAAATTTTCAGTTTCCATTCATTATCTTCCCAACGGTAGTACACATTCAACTCAAACTTGACATATGGATACGTCAAAGGAATGCGCAGGTCAAGTTCGAATTTGGTCTTGGTTTGATGATTTTTGGCAGAGTTATGCCCCTTTTACTATGAAAAATAATATGAAATTTTCAGTTTTCGTTCATTATCTCCCCAACGGTATTACACATTCAACTCAAATTTGACATATGAATATATTAAAAGAATGCGCAGGTCAAGTAAGAATTTGGTCATTGTTCAATGATTTTTGGTAGAGTTATGTCCCTTTCACTTTGAAAATAATATGAAATTTTCAGTTTCCGTTCATTATCTCCTCTAGGGTATTTCTCATTCAACTCAAATTTGACATATGGATATGTCGAAGAAATGCGCTTGTCAAGTTTGAATTTTGTCATGGTTTGATGATTTTTAGCATAGTAATGCCCCTTTTACTTTGAAAATAATATAAAATTTTCAGTTTCCATTCATTATCTCCCCAACGGTATTACACATTCAACTCAAACTAGACATATGGATGCGTCAAAGGAATGCCCAGGTCAAGTTCGAATTTTGTCATGGTTTGGTGATTTTTGGCAGAGATATGCCCCTTTTACTTTGAAAAAAAAAGGAAATTTTCAGTTCACAATCATTATCTCCCCAACAGTTGTACATATTCAACTCAAATTAAAGATATGGATATGTCGTAAGAATGCATTGGTCAATTTCGAATTTGGTCATGGTTTGATGATAGCTGACAGAGTTATCCCTCTTGAACTTTGAAAAAAAGTCTTTTCGTTCATTACCTCCCCAATAGTTGTACACATTCAACTCAAATTTGACATATAGATACATCTTAGGAATAAGCAGTTATCTTTCTTGAATGTTAGAACAATTTTCAGTTTCAGCACTTCACTTTTGTGGAAATGTATGCAGCCATTATTTTGGCTACAAATATTCAATATGCAATTACAAAAGGTTAACACTGAATAGTTTCAGTGCCATGAACTTTGTATAAAAATGTTTCTTGTTAACATTGAAAAGTTATAAGGGCTTTGAACTTAAAACACAAAAAATAATTTGTGCAAACAAATTGGAACTAAATATTATAGCATTTGAAATGTTGGTTGCATGCGGGGGCATCAATGGCGTGACGACACATTTCTAGTTCTGTATCAGTTTTAATGATTTGTTATTATATTATTTTATATGTATTACTATACAAATATAATTTATATATGCAAATGATATGAAAGAAATATTTCGTTAAAAAGCTGAAATATTACTAGTTACTGAACTGATTATATATCAGGTGTTGTTGTTATATTGTCTCGAACATATTTGACTTAAAAAGGCCTAGCACTTAGATTAGATCTTTACCATAAATATCTTTACAAAATAAACTTTATAATTCAATAAATCTTGAATAATCAAAATTTTGTTTTGATTTTCTTTCAACCTTTTTGACATGAATATATATTGGGCTAGATTGACAATTTTATCTAAATTCCCAAAGTAACACAACTTGATTTGTTTGTTTGTTTCATTTTACGCCTTTTCCCAAATACAATACAATACGTACAATCCACGAAAATTTACAAAAAGTGGTCAAGATGTGCAAACACAGCCCTAGTAAGGCAGTAGAAATATGGTGATAAAATTCTGCAAATCAGTCTTAAACCGTAACATGTAAAATGTTACTTGGATTTTGAATGTTTTTATCTTTTGCAAATTTCTCAATATTGATTTTCTTGTTATATTTTGGCTCATCTGGAGGCACAAAAGCCATTAAAATATCCCCCTCTTAACCACTTTGATTTTGGTGAAACTTTACAGAAACGATCAATACGTAGTCCTTTACAAAATTGGTAAGATCTTTAAGGTCTTTTGAACAAGATGTCATTTGGGGTCCAACCAAAAAGTGCGGTTAATTTCACATTGCACTTCCGGATCAAACGCAGTTTCTGTTAGCTATATCGTGGATTTGCCGAACAAAATCGCATACTGGAACTCTGGCTTGTAAAATCTAGATACAGGTACATTTCAATATAGAATATTACCTGTTACTTGAGCAAAAGGAACCATCTGAAGTGGATGACACTTGCGAAAATTGTAACAATTGTCTAGTTAAATATCATAGGCTTGGTTGAAGTGAAAATTTTATTCAATTTATAAATCATGGCCTTTCTTGATACATTTATGCTTGCTGAATAAAAAAAAATAATTACGGAGTACAGACAAACTTTCATGTTGTTTTTAAGCATGATATACACGAAAAACAAACGAATATAAAGAAAATGACACCAGACGTTCAACAGCTACGCTTACGCTGTGCAAACAAAACAAATACAACTTAGAGGTACCATTGCGGTGTAACTTTTTGTGTCGCCTCTACGGAGTAGTGGCGACATAGGGATCTCTTCTCCGTCGTCTGTCCGTCCGTCACAAAAACTTGTCCGGACTACTCCTCATAAACTTCTGGTGCAATTTCATCCAAACTTTACAGGAATGATCAGTACCAAGTCTAGAATCTAGTTGTGCATATTGTCAGCATTTTTCGGTTCAATGATTTTTGTAAGAGTTATGGCCCTTTAATATTTTTTATTTTTAAAGTTTGTCCAGACTACTTCTCTTATACCACTAATGCAATTTCAATGAAACTTTACAGGATTGATCTGTAGCTTAAGTCCTTGCGCATATTGCACGGGTTTTCCGGTTGAATGTTTTTTTGGCCGAGTTATGGCCCTTTGATAAAAAGGTGTTTTT